ACCAGGTCTTATGATAACAAATTCTGTTATGAAACTTTCGGCTGATAGAAGATTTCCTATTATGATTGTCAATAATACACATAAAACTATAAGATTGAAACGAGATTCAGTAGTTGCTAAAGTTTCAGAAGTTGAGAGCATTAACTCGGTCACAGAGGCTCTTCAAACAACTTCCCCTCTTAACAACGATTTCGAACGTGATATTCATACACCTTCAGAGCATTTTAATATTGTTAGAGACTTATTAAGGAAAAATAGAAATATTTTCGCAAATAAAGATTCTGAATTATCACAGACAGATACTGTAACCATGAAAATACCAACAGGTAATCATCCTCCAATCAAATTAAGCCCATATCGCACACCTTTAAACAATAGAAAATTTATGAGTGACGCAATCGATGAGATGTTAGATGCTAATATTATAAGAAGAAGTCATAGCCCTTATTCATTTCCTGTTGTTATTGTCGGGAAACGTGACGGCAGTAAACGGTTTTGTGTTGATTTTAGACAATTGAATAAAATTACAAAGCCAACATCATATCCTCTCCCATTAATTGACGATATTTTAACACTACTAGGGTCTTCAAAATATTTTACAACACTAGACATGCGCTCAGGGTTTTGGCAAATACCCGTGCATGAATCAGACAAGGAAAAAACGGCTTTTACGACATTCCGAGGCTTGTTCGAGTTCAACGTAACACCTTTTGGCCTAGTTTCTGCCCCTGGAGTTTTCCAAGAACTCATGTCACATGTCTTACAAGGTTTAGAGGCATTTGCTGTCAGTTATCTTGACGACATTCTGATATTTTCGAAGTCATTAAATGAACATTTATCACATATACAGACAGTATTTTCAAAGCTTAAAGAGCATAAATTAAAACTTAAACTGAAAAAGTGCAGTTTTATTCAGCAACAAACAAAGTACCTTGGTTTTATAATTGATCATGAAGGTATAAAACCAGACCCAGAAAAAGTAAAAGCTATTAGGTCACTTCCGGTACCAAAATGTGTTAAAGATGTCAGATCTTTACTTGGTGCTGCTGGTTTTTATAGAAGATTTTGCCCTAAATATTCTAAAATTGTTGAACCTCTAATCAATCTTACAAGAAAACGTGTTTTGTTTAAATGGACAAAAGAATGTCAAGAAAGTTTTGAACAATTAAAGAAAATGTTAACACGTATTCCACTTTTAGCATTCCCAGACCCAAATAAGCCTTATATTCTATACACGGACTCCTCAGATTTAGTGGTCGGAGCATGTTTAAGTCAGAAATGTGACAAATCTGGTATTGAAAAACCTATATACTTATTATCTCATAAATTAAGTGAATCTCAAAGAAAGTAAAGTACCATAGAAAAAGAAGCATTCAGTATTCATTATGCGTTACAAAAATTAGATGTTTATTTACATAATGCAGAGTTTACTATATTTACAGACCATAAACCTTTAAAATATCTTCTAGAAGCACCTATGCAAAACAAAAGAATTCAGCTTTGGCCTAAAATATTTCTGATTTCCTTAAACTAATAAAACTTTATAAATCATTATTAAATAAATTTTACCGTGAATTTTCCGGTGTAAATCAGAGAATATCGAATAATCTTTAAGATGTAATTAGAATAAACATTTCTATATCACATTTTAATATTTAATTAAAATCGAAAGTGAATTTGCGTTCTGTCCAAGCAATTAGAGAAGATTTCCCGGCTCTGCGTTGAGCGCTTGCCAAGTCAGTACACAAATGGTATACTTGCTTTGGACTACTCGAGCTTTATATCTTTATATTTACGCGTGTTAGCTTTCTGCAAGCGCTCATTTAAGAGCCATTTTATTTGTAATAAAACTATAACCAAGATGGATATTGTGTTGTTTTCCTATTTTTGTATTTTCTGATCGCAGATCAGGAAATACTATGCTGACATTTAACCTCAGGCACAGGTTTTCCCGACAAACCTAACAACAAGTAGTTTTCAAAACAGCTTAAAACTAGCGATGTAAAGAAAGAAATATTTTTATTTTGTAACAAGTTTCCATCAAATAACAACGCATTCAAAGTGTAAAAGTAGCTTTGGCTTATAGAATTGTCAATAAATGCATACAAAAAAATACGCGGATGAATATCATTTTAATCAATGAAAATGGCTCGGCTATTTCCGTAAAGCTTCGGATTATTGTGATCGGATTTAAAGGCCCCTAAATGAACATTTGCTATTTCGACTTTCTGAAAAATAAAGTAAGAATGTTTACTCTAGGACAGGGACGAATTAAGGGCAGTCGACGGTCGACAATCAATTTCTACCATAAATTAAGCATCCAATAATTAAGTTCACGTAAACAAGATGCTATTTTTAGCGCTGTCGATTACCAAAGACTTACTTACACAAATAAATCTGACTGTCGAGTAGTGAAATATATACATGTCGGCTTGTTTGGGCGAGAAGATTTTCGCAAAAACATTAACAACAGTGTTAAACAACTGCTTTACATAGAAATTAATAAGAATTCCAAATCATAAATTGAAATTCTAAAATCATAATAATATGGTTTTATTCAGTCTCATAATATAAAACATCACCGTGGCCGAGGGGTTGCACACACGTTTACAATGTTAGAGGTCTGGAGTTTTAAGCTCAGTCGTGGCAACTATTTTTTTTTAGCAATTTTAAAAGAATTAGTCCGGATATGCAAGGATAAGGTGTGGATGTCATAAAAATGAACATAAATGATTTCATGTTGCAAGTAGAAACTCTGATCATGCAAAATTCCGTATGTATCAAACTCAAACTGTTTTAGCAAAAAAAATCTAGCCGCAGTCGCTGCAACTCGGTGCCCTGCAAGATGAATTATAGTATTTCAAAATAAATTGATAAAGGAAAATACACACAGATATACAGTGCGATATAGATTGCAAAGATTAGAAAATACCACAGAGCTCGCAGCCTTTTGATTATTCTATATAATGTACAATATAAATATATGAATTTGGCGGTCATATTTGGTCTCCCTTAAGTGACAATTTTGATAAAATTTTAGTCGTGAGCGATTTATAGTGTTAGGTCACCTTATTTCCCATGCAAAGAGTCTTCATTCTTTTATTCAAATTAAAAATGCTCTATGAGAATTTCTATGTTGTTAACTCTGCGTTGAAACTATTTTACTCCATGATGACCATAGTATATCTTTAACTCATTCTTTAATTTGCGTGTAACGTGTCAACAAATATGTTGTTTTTCGCGGAATGACCGGTTATATCTTAATTTTTCTATGACTTTAGTTGAAGATTGAATACCGTCAAGCCGATGCTAACGGTCGTCAGAGATGTTGGACTTTTACATTTTCTCTCATGAACAGACACGATCAAACCGAGTTTTGAAATTTTTATATAATGTCGTTGTTATGCTCCGAACACAATTTTGATAAAATTTTAGTCGTGAGAGATTTATAGTGTTAGGTCACCTTATTTCCCATGCAAAGAGTCTTCATTCTTTTATTCAAATTAAAAATGCTCTATGAGAATTTCTATGTTGTTAACTCTGCGTTGAAACTATTTTACTCCATGATGACCATAGTATATCTTTAACTCATTCTTTAATTTGCGTGTAACGTGTCAACAAATGTGTTGTTTTCGCGGAATGACCGGTTATATCTTAATTTTTCTATGACTTTAGTTGAAGATTGAATACCGTCAAGCCGATGCTAACGGTCGTCAGATATGTTGGACTTTTACATTTTCTCTCATGAACAGACACGATCAAACCGAGTTTTGAAATTTTTATATAATGTCGTTGTTATGCTCCGAAAAGGGAGCGCACAAAGTCGCCATTTTTTCCGGCTGTCCGTGCGTCCCCCTGCTTTACTTTTCAGGGGCATACGGTGAAACTACATGAGGCATCGACAAGAAACTTTGTAGATAAATAAATCTCATTCCGTAAAAGTGCAGTGCATAAGAACTATAACACAGTCTTACGATACTTTTGAGTTATTGCTCTTTGTTCATTTTAACACTTCGAGCATTGTCCGGTACATAACTATGAAACCATATATCAACAAGAAATTTGCAGGTTGATAGATATATTTGGGAAGATAATTATACAGTCAATAAGAACCAAAACTCCTAACATATATAATTTTTGAGTTATTGCTCATTGTTCATTTTTGCACGTTGAATAATATCTTTGAACTACTTCTCTGTGTCTAAAACCTATTCAGGGAAAAATTTAAGCGGTTCGACCGTCTCTTGTTTTCATTGATTCCGGGGTTCAGACTGTTTACTGCATCAAAAGTTTAAGCTACTAACGAATGGCCACCTAACAATATTTATTCTATTCTACAAACATCACACAAATATGTTTTACACCTTTTAAAAGTGAAACGAAATAGTAAAAGGAAAGAAAATGCGCACACTCCGTTTTATTGTGATATTGTGAATGTTCATGAAATCGTTAATGTGACAACATAAACGCATTCACATCATCTAATTTAGGAGTATGGTGCTTTAAAGGGAGGCACAGGCAACATTTTAATATCGTAGTTTTGAAGTTTTCATTCAATATTCTGTAAATATCTTTAAAATGAAGACACTAGATAGTCACAGGAACCAAAAATGTTTCTGCTTATAAAGAATAAACTGATCATGCAATATCCGCATTAAAATTATTGACCAGTCAATAAGTTGTATAAATGGCACTTTTTCAGGCTGGTGAAGTAAGGGCATCCTTGTACTATAGTACATGTCTAGTTAATTAGGGAAATTCATATAAATGGTGTAATCTGATTGGTTATTTATCTCGTGGTCACGACTTAGTAACTCGTGGCCACGACATAGTATCTCGTGGCAACGACAAAGTATCTCGTGGCCACGACTTAGCTAACTCGTGGCTACGACATAGTATCTCGTGTCCACGACTTAGTAACTCGTGGCCACGACATAGTATATCGTGGCCACGAGATAAATATAAACACACACACATGTCACCTTTGTGCCACCGTAGGCTTGACATCCATGTTGTATGACGGAAAGTTATGGTGTCTCGGTCAGAAGTATGATATTTTGACGATGCGCGGAAAAGTTGTCGTAAACGCCTTATCACTGTGGCGTTATCCTGTTTAAATTGCAAGCATTTAGGTTAGATTCTAAATGTTACAGCTCCTCTCTATGTCTGTTACAGCTGAAATATAGATAAAATTACCATGAAAAAAATCAATAAAAAACAACTAAAGAAAAGAAAAAGAATCAAACGCACATTAGGTCTTTTCATGTTGTTATCAAGTAAGTACATGTATAATATGTATAAAATCATCATCTGTACCTGTGTACCTTGAGTTGAAGCATGTGCTACGTAACCACGTTTTTGCAACCGTTGCCGGGGCAAAAACAGTTATAGTAAAGACATTTAGTAGTCTTAAATCGAAACACATAGACATTTCAATAGGTTAAATAATTAAAATGCTTTTATCCAGCCATGGCCATTTTCATGCCAACACGTTTTTATTAATAAATACTAGTACGTTTTTTAGACTGATTTCTCTTTTCTTTTATTCCCAAGTTTTAATGTTTGAATAATATATATGCTAGTATGCACGTCATACTTTGGCGTATGACACATGCTTCAGCCAACGATGAAAATGTAGATTATGTTCTAGGTCAGTTGGACCATCTTTAGTAAAATCTTTTTGTATCACTCGCTTTGCCTCCCCTTAATCAATAAGATTTTTCTACTCGTACTAGTTGTTCAAAAACATGCAATGACACAGTCTTTTGCTAAAACAGGAAATATTAAAATCTATCATATCCTGTAATAAATCGGAACATTTGCTAAATAAATTTGCTATATGAATATGGAAAGCTTAAGATAATATATTTGTCCTGGATTTTTTCCCTTTTATGATGCGGTCTGAATAATCGACCGGATGTTGAATTTTCTCGAGAATGCAAACTACATTGAATTTATGCATAGATGAAGAATGTGTTCAAGTTAATTGCTTAAATTCACCTTTGTATCGGTGGTATAGCAACATACACAAATCTAAACTAATGGTTAATCATTTACACAGAAACTAACCCACTGGGGGTGCCTAACGGACTGCAGTAACCCCCTAGCGCCCTGGCCTGTTTTTGTCCGATCAGATAAGCATATAAACAGTAAAATACCAGCAAACACCGGCTTCAGATAAATGTGGCTCACAAAATCCTTGTATATTGAAGCCCGGAGCCCTGTTCAGCCTCTTTCCTGTCATAAAACAATTTCATTCGAAACACTGCATACCTTGAGGCAATCTGATGTACTGGAATTTATACTCGTGGTCCTGCAGGGCTTTCAGTAGATTACTCTTGGTGAGTATTGGTATGATATCAATCGTTCATTTCGACTCCTTTCCGGTGCCACTTATCGGTCACAAATCTGTCAGGAAAAGTAAAGTGTAGGAAATGAAAATCGTGAACTATACTTTATTCCGAAAATATTTCATATTTCTATCGTGTCTTATTTGCTAGGCATATCAAACATGTCCGATTTCTTGTCCGGTAGGTGGTCGGAATCAAGAATGTTGTAAGCGCGCCCTAGAGTTACATAGATTTTTAATGCAACGCACGTAGTTGTTGAATCCCGTGACAAGGTAATATGTGTACGCCAAACAAAGGCATGTCGCGGTTTTTTCATAATTTGAATTCGGCTCATGCATGAGCTCCATGCCTTACTTTCTAAATATGCTTTACTGAGATACCAAAGTGAGGGGATATGCTGTGCAGTTGTATATAGTGTTTGATACATTGACAAACTGTATTTTTAAAATTGTTACACATAATCATGTTTCATCAACTCTCACTCTGAAACAGTTAAACTCGGCAATTATATATTTTTTAAAGCAAATAATATTTTGATACAAGTGAAATGACAGATCCATTACGAATGTCGCATAAGAAATTGATATTTCATTTCCTTCGTTAATATGAATTGAATAAGAATTCTTCATCTCACAAAATACATGTATCCCTCTTTTTATGCTGCCGAGAAATAAAATTATTGTAATAAGATAACATTTTAAGGTAAAAAAAACAAACAAGTAATTTTCAAGAACCAAAATGAAATATTGACAATCAATTTCTTTTACTATAACAGCCATGGCATCTTGTTACCTGTCACAAATGTATCTATGCATCATTAAGTATCTCTCTTCTTCCATACTTTGAATTGGTGAATTTACAAAAACATATAAATTGCTACATCTGACATAAATGTGAACCTGAAATATCAAATTTAGAAATAAAACATTTTTAGTTGCTTTAATCATTTCAACCACCCGATAATAAACAAGTAGAAGAATCATAATAAGTTTGTGTGACTATCGAAATTCATCTGTAGAGTTTTAATGGGGAAATTAGTTATTTTTTAATGAAGGCTATACATTTTAGTTTTTTCACTTCTCTTCAATAAGATGCTAAATTTCTATATAGCCATTTTATCATGTATAATTTAAAATAATTGTAATTGTTTTTTTCTTCTTAAGATATGAAAAACAATAAACATTTGTGAAGGAGTCCCTTCATCAGTGTGCACACGTCATCACATATGTGATCGTTAGGCCTCGTAAGGCTGGCAATGCATGAGGGATGCGGCGTATGGCGCATCGACTTTCATTTTGTTAACGTTAAAGGCCCATTATGCCTCAGAAATGCTTTTACCTTTCCCTAATCTTATTCATTCTTTTACTTATTTTTTTTGCAATTGATAAAGAAACATTAAATAAGTACTTTATATGGAAGTCAAGATAGACTTTAATTTAATTTATATTTTGTTATGATTACTTTTATGACAAACAATTTTATATTCAGCGCTTCATTCTTCTGGTAATACGCACGTAACACACGCTGAAGCCAATTTTTAAACGTGATGAAGTTCATGACTGGCGTTTCTAAATATTGAAAAACTTACTTGTTTCTGAGGTATTATGTGTCTTTAATAGTAATATGTAAAATCATAAACATTAATATCTGTACAAAAAATTATTAAGTGAAATTTTATGGTGGGTTGGATGGGGATTAAAATGGTAATAGAATTGTTATCAATTGATTGCTTTTAGAGCATTGTTATCGTACATAATGTCCAGTTAATACATGTCATATTATGATTATACAATGAAGTTACTCGGCTTTGACATTAGATCTTTAGATATAATACAAACAGAAAATACAGCATATAGTAATAATACATTATAGATTTGTGACATAGTTTTTTTCTAATAATTTTATTTCAACACATTAAGAAATATTTACGACCTATGTTATAACAGTATTTACTACCAAGTTATCCAGCAATAAATTACAAACCTTATAGTTGATTATAAAGAAAACACATCACAAGCACGGGAACGACCTTCTCTGGTCACAAAGTTATCATGTGTTAGGTCTCTGTACGTATATGATCCAACTTCACAAAAAGTTGGACAACCATAGGCCATTAAAAATACAGTTTATCTTTCATAACAACCGCATATGAGAGATATATTTTTTGAATATGGACAATACTTGACCACAAATTTAACAAATACAGTCATATAAGCTAACCTAAATTTATCTTCGAAGAATGATTTAGAATGAAGTCAAGCCCCCACCCCCCCCCACACACACACCCCTTAATACTTAAGTTACCCTTAAATAAAATAATATGTTCTATATCATTTACTCATAAAACATTTCATCCTGATATACCCCTTGGGTATCCAAGTCGACCGATTATTTCAGACTGCGGAGCTTAAAATGAAAATATGTCCGATTATGTTGATACAATTTTAAAACAAAACATGGACTATTTGCCATCTTATGTAAAAGAGAGTTTAGAGTTTAGAGTTTATTTCATTTATTCCATAAGGCTATTCGCCCATGATGGCAATACAAGCATACATATATACATGTACAATACAAAGTAAGCATGATTTATGTGCATAATACAGCGAACAAAATTAATATTAGATTTACATAGACTTTTCATTGGAGAAGGTCAAGCATGACATAAGAAAGCTTAATATTCTTAATAATTTCATTTCATATCATTTAAAGTATGACTTTAGTATAAATTTGTTAAGACTAGTAATCTGAAAAACATTATTTTCTCCTTAAATTACAATCAGAATTTGTATATATATATACATTGAGATACATGTAGTAATATGTTATCGTTCTCGTAAAAAGAAAGATAACCCTTGCATGAATTTAGTACAAAAATAACAATATTTATATATATAGTATAACAAGAACATACAAATTACATCCATTTTAACTACCAGCCTTACCGAAACGAAATGCAAGACGGGAATCATGGATTAAATTTGAGCATGAAACATGAAAATTGCATAAAATATTAATTTTCTACATGTCTTTTTTTATATCTAGAACGATGTTTTAAATTCACATTTTACAACTATGCATATAAGTAGCTTTACAACAAAAATAAGTCATTACTCAACTGAACCGTATAGCATTTCATTTCTCTTTTCAAAAGATTTATATACAAAAATTCCTAGTTTCTTTCTTTTTGTATCATTTTCATTGTTTAACAATTCAATAAATTTTACCATATTTGGATGTTTCCAGTATTTCTTATGAATAAATTGTTTCCTTAATTCAGTATACATTGAACATTCTAATATAAAATGATATTCATCCTCTAAAACATTACAAATTAAACATTTTCGTTCATTAACTGGAGTTCTTGTAGGTCTGGACCAACGTCCAGCCTCTATTTGTAGCCTATGAGAGGAAACTCGTAATCTTACCATAGCCTGGCACAATTTGTTTGCATTAAAAATATCTAGATATGATTGAAACTCAAAATTTGCTATTGTCCTATAAAATAAAGCTCTACTAGAGTTATGTAATCTTTCATGCCAGTTTTGAACAAAATTGTCCTTTAAACGTTGTTTTAAAATTGCTAGAAACATATCAATATCTCCTACACTCTGCTGTAACCAGACATCATAAAATCCTAAAGAACATAAAAGTTGTTTTAATTTCGAACACCAGTTTACTATATTTGGGTTATTTTCAAAATCACTTTTCAACAATTTATAAACTCTACTAACATATTTGTTTTCATTACTACACAATATTTTCATCCAAAATTTTACAATATTGAAAAGATGTCTACAATGAAATGATATTCTACCAAGTTCTCCATAAATAAAATCATTTTGTGTAGTTTTTTTAACTCCCAAAATCTTTTTACAAAATTGTAAGTGTACCCGTTCCATTGTTTGGCTAACCGTAAAACCCATTACCTCACTACCGTAGTTTAATATAGGTGTAATTAATGTATCAAAAAGATTTAGCTTATGCCTTGGTTTAATATACGTAAATTTATATAAATATTTATTTAGTTTAAAAATAGCTTTTTGTGCTTGTCCAGCTAACATTGTTTGTGCTTTTGTAACTGATCCACCACAAGTAAATACAATACCAAGATATGTAAATGTATTAACAATTTCAATCAAATTACCATCATAATAAAACTGAAGATCACTTGGAAGTCTACCAACTCTTTTAAAAATCATAACTTTCGTTTTAGATACATTGACTTTTAACTTCCATGTATTGCAATAACCATACAAGAGACATATATTGTGTTGAAGTTCTTCTGCTGAGTTTGCAAAAATTACGATATCGTCCGCATATAATAACAGGAAAACTTTAAACATATTTACATCTATTCCTTCAACACCACTTTTTAAAAATGTATCTTCTAAGTCGTTTAAGAACATAGAAAAAAGAAACGGTGACAAACATTCACCTTGTCTTACCCCTAATGTACATGTAAATTCATTACTTAAATTATTCAAATACTTTACTTTTGATTTTACACATTTGTACATAGATTGAATGACATCTAAAATGTTACCTCTTAACCCTAACTGAATAAGCTTGTACCAAAGATTTTCCCTAACAACGTAATCAAATGCTTTACTGTAGTCAACAAATAAACAAAAAAGTTGTTTTCCTTGATTTATAAAATGCGATATTAAACCATTTAAAACAAAAACATTATCTATAGTACTCATATTTGATCCAAAAACGCCTGAGCTTCAATGTAGACATTATATTTTTCAGCCCAATTTTTTAACCTTGTATTAATTACACTTGAAAATAATTTACCAAGACTACTTAACAATGTGATACCTCTATAATTTTCTACTTCATTAACACCACCTTTCTTATGTAACGGAATGACATATCCTTCTGACCATCTATCAGGAAAATTTCCAGTTTCAAAAATTTTATTAAATAAAACACATAATAAAGGAATAAAAACATCTTTTCCTGATATAAGAAATTCATTAAGTAGCAAATCTGGGCCTGCAGATCGATTACGTTTTAATTGATTAATTGCTTGTTTTATCTCATATTCTGTAATTATTACATTTAACTCTTGAAACATGACTTTAAATTCTTCATCTCTATATCTACTATTAAACTCTAATATATCATCATCAGGAACAAAAAATCTATCAGCTGGGTTATTTACAGCTCTAAAATAATGTTCAAAATTCGACAATGGAATTTCTGCAGGTTTAAGCCCTGCAGACTCTTTTAACATATTCCAGTATAAACGAGCATTCTTCAGTTTATTGTTTTCAAAATTTGACGTTTTCTGTTTATCATATTCAAATCTACATGTACGTAATAATTTTTTATATTCTGATCTACATTTAACCATATTAATTCATTTTCGTCACAAGGGTTATTACGATAACAATTTAAAAGTCGTAAAAATGCATATCTTTTTTCGGCACATAAATTTTTTATACCAAGGGCAATCAGTTTTAACGCTATGCTCACTATTTAAATTATTAATAACTTTTATATTTTTCTTAAATAGAGGTGATGCAACATCATCTATAATATTTTCAAAATTATTCAGACAATCATTTATAGTATTGCCTTCATTACATAATAAAATATCATCTTTTAATCCATTAAAAGACACAACAGACTTTATCAAAAAGTTGCAAAATTTCTCAAATATAAGTAAGAATTCATATTTAATGAGACTCGATGTTACATCTTTTTACAGTTATATTCCTCATGTCATGATGAGGGTATCAATGCTTGTAAATATTTTATGGAAAATGGTTTATGTCGCAATGTTTTGTTTATTCTTTTTCTACAATCATGGATTTAGTATGTTCTTGAAGTTGGCAGCCTAGCAGCCTAGCATCCTGGCAGCCTAATCAGCCTAAAGAAAAATAAGAATAGTACAAACAGTGGGTAATACATTAGTAGCACTTCTTTAGACCATTCAACGCCTTTTTTCAATATCGTGATCTTTATCTTTTAAGATGATGAACTTTATCTTAACATAATTTTTTCATTCTGACGCTCCGAAATTTGTGAAGTTAGCATCCTAGCAGGATAGTACAAACATGAAAACCGTCGGAAATGAATCGGTATCACATACTTAGACCATTCCATGTCTTATTTCAATATCGCGATTTTTATCTTTTAAATATTGAACTTTTTTCTTTTCTTTTTGACACTTCGAAATTTGTGAAGTTAGCAGCCTAGCAGCCTGGCAGCCTAAAGAAAACTAAGGATAATACAAACATGAAAACCGTCGGAAATGAATCGGTAGCACATACTTAGACCATTCCACGTCTTATTTCAGTATCGCGATCTTTATTTTTTTAAATATTGAACTTATTTTTTTACACTTCGAAATTTGTGATTAAAGATTCTTGCGATATAAAACCACTTATTTGGTTGTGATTTTTAGATGTCATTTTTTCATCTGGAATCATTCTGAAGAATATTTATTACAATTGATAGACAAGCTCAATAATTTTCACTATGATACAAAATTTACATATTGTTTTTTCTAAAGAAACAATTACATTTTTAGATGTTAACATTGTAAAATGTGATGATGGTACCCTGCATACTTGTGTTCACGAAAAAGATACTAACAGTCGCCAGTATATAGAACTTTCATTATATCAGCCTATTTCTTGCAAAAAGGGTATTCCGTTTACTAATAGTCAAGGTAAACGCTATAGGCGTATTACTGCAGACGAAACTATTTTTTGAAAAAAAAAATGTTAAAATCAGTGATAATAATTTATTATGTAGCCCGTAATTATCCTGCAAATATAATTTAAATGATACATTTACAACGGTGACTTTTATGACAATGCAAGTGTAAAGAATACAAATAAAGTTGTTCGTTTTGGGTGTACTTACAATCCATCCTTGCCAAATACTGGTAAAATAATAAACCTGTACTGGAATCTTTTCAAATATTCTGAACATGAGAGTGTTCAA